CATTCAACAATTTTGAAACGCAGCATGACCGGATTGCGCAACCATGATCATTTACTACTACGCAATGCAGTTGTGTTCGTTTTTATTTGAAACTTCGTTTAGAATATACTTTTGTTACCAGTAAAATAGAAAACAAATGTATTTGAAAAATGACACTGGGCGACATTGTAATGAAATTTCAGGCGTTCTACTTTTTAATTCAGCAAGAATTATTAATTATTGTTAATTCTGCAATAGTTTCTCTCGTCTTGGGTGGCCCATGGAGCTAAAATAAGATCTTATTTTAGCTCCATGGGTGGCCCAACTGACGGCGTTGAAAGTCTGCGTAGTTAGATACTTCAATGGAAATGGAAGTCCCCAAAAAATATTTGATGATTATTTTTTGAAATTTTGAGCCCCAAACAAGTGCCCACCAGCCGTGAAATCCCCTGGGCAATTTTTCGGATGGGCGAATTTACGGCAGAATATAAAGAAAGTATTATTATGGACATCTCGCATATTGCGGATGTTTTATACTGTTTGTAGTTTGCATATGAAAGTGGATGCCCCTCCTATTATTCGACGTCATTGACAATGCGATAACAATGCCACTCGCACTGTGCACATTTTAGCGCTAGATCTAATGCCATTTTAGCGCTACATCTAGTGCCATTTTAGCACTAGATCTAATACTTTTTCGAATTAGTGCTACTAGCACTAACCACTCGCACTACGCCCATTTCGACACATTTACATACATGTATACATGCATAATACTTACATGGTGTAATAGGTTGCACTGGTTGTTCTGTTGTGGTTTTTTCACTCTCACATTGTAATATATCACAATGTTTCCAGCCACCAAGTAGTTCAGAATCATCAGGATCAGCAAAATAACACCATGGTTTCTGATCACTATCAGGATTACGACAATAATTATGATCACCCAAACCTGCATACAAGACATTGACAATGTGACATTATGACAGGCCAATATTTATAAGGCCAGACCTTTATTATCCCTTGTTTCGCAAACCCACCGAATGAACAGGAGCCGAAAATAAAATTTTATTTCAGCGTAATTTCTCGAGCCCGCCGACTTGCAAGCGCAAAAAATGCTAAAAAAATATTTTTTTTTATCTTCATTTTTTTACCACCCGCCGCATAACAAATCCAAGTTGCATTTTCGTGGAAGTATCATGATCAAAGTATCGAAGTCTCGGCAGATGAGAAACAAGGTTATACATGGACAATTTTATTTCATTTCTTCTCTCCGATCAATGATCTCACTTACAATTCTTTGAGAAGCACACAAATCTAATGAAAAAAAAATTAATTTTATTTTTTTTCCACCCTCCTCAAAAAAATTGCTGTATAAAAACTTGAGAAACAAGTAATACTAAAAGTCTGGCCTAATGTTGACACTATTACAGGTCAATATTATAGGACTGACACTGACAGGTCAATATTTATAGAACTGACCGTATTACAGATCAATATTTATATTACTAACACTATAACAGGTCAATATTTATACATGTAGTTTTGAGACTATGACAAGTCAATATTTATAATACTGACACTATTACAGGTCAATATTTATACATGTAGTATTGAGACTATGACAAGACAATATTTATAATACTGACACTATTACAGGTCAATATTTATACATGTAGTTTTGAGACTATGACAAGTCAATATATATATTACTGACACTATTACAGGTCAATATTTATACATGTAGTATTGAGACTATGACAAGACAATATTTATAATACTGACACTATTACAGGTCAATATTTATACATGTAGTATTGAGACTATGACAAGTCAATATTTATATTACTGACAGTATGAAATCACAAATCATCATTTAGTGGTGGTTTTCTACAGTGATCACTTTTAGGCAGTCCCAAGGCATAAAGTATGAGCTACCTGTGAGACCACTCTTTCAGCAATATTTTTGCAGATTCACCTTTGTTTAGAAACTGAAATAATAATCAGTAGTTTGTAAAAAATATTTGATTCCCTCAAGTCAAACTTCATTAGATTTTGATCAACTCAAATCAATTTAATTTTGTTGCAATAGTATCATTTCATTATTTTCTTGACAAATATAATGTTGAGTGTATTAGTTTGCAATCCATAACAAAAAAATCCAAATATCACTAACTGATATTTTATACCACTAAGGTGATGTGTATTACTGAGAACCAAAAAGAAAACAGACCTGCATTGGGATATGAACTTGGATTGATTGCAGTAATACTTGACATAATATTCCAATTGGCACAAATATCGCCCTCTATGGTGACAGCAACATTTCCACGGTAAGATTCTCCATTGTCATAGTAACAGTTTTCAACTGAAAGAAATATTATTCATTACTATATTTTATAAATCAATGAAAACACATATAGGCCAAGTAGAAAAATTGTAATATTGCAGTGTGAAATATTTGTTTTTTTAAACATTTTTCATTAGGACAAGCAGCCTTACTGTATGTATTATTACCTTCCATTCTGCGTTCATAAAAGTCATATGGATCATCATTATAGTCTGTTTTCAGTGGAACTTCAAAGGAATGCTTGTCACTCAACCAACATATATTATCTTCACGTTTATAATCAAAAGAATGACACATAAAACTTGTTTCTTGTAAACAAGACATGGCACATTGTTCGGCTGTTTTCTCCATCAACTGTAAGTTGTTATGACCAGGAAGTGCAGCATATGGTGTCAGAATGAAAGATGCCAATGCTTTGTCTGAAATTAATACAAATATTTACAGTTCTTATTAATGATATCTTCAAAACCCTAAGAAGGTTTGCATGACATACTTTCTTTCATTCCACAAGGATACCGAAAATGAACAATGAGTCTGAAATGTCATGGAAAATGTTCAAAATTTTTACACTGTTTCAATGGTAAGATTATTTCTTCATATCTCAAAAATTTGCTAGGTAACATTAGATGAAAAAGTCAAATATTATTATTGATACAAATATTGTAATAATATTTCAAAAAAGTAACATATAATTTTGTCCTTTAACCAGGATAATAGCTTTTGATTATATACAATAAATTCTCTCCCATAATGCATTGCATATTTGAGTGTTTCACTTACACAAAATCACCTCAATATATTATTCAAAACAATATTTTTATTTTCACCATAGGAAAAATGTTACATTATATTTGGGGCTGAAAAGTCATTAAAGCATTCATATTAATAATGAACTGATGTATATGAATGAGTCATACTCCATTCATACTCCATTCCTACTCCATTCCTACTCCATTCATACTCCATTCATACTCCATTCATACTCCATTCATACTCAACTCATACTCAATTCATACTCCATTCATACTCCATTCATACTCCATTCATACTCCATTCATACTCCATTCATACTCCATTCATACTCAATTCATACTCCATTCATACTTCATTCATACTCAATTCATACTCAATTCATACTCCATTCATACTCCATTCATACTCCATTCATACTCCATTCATACTCCATTCATACTCAATTCATACTCAATTCATACTCAATTCCAACACATAAAGTTTATAAAACGATTTGTAAAGTAACCATGTGTTAATTTATGTTTGTGTTGGTAAATAAATTAGGTTCAATACATCTGACTATAGGTTGATAAACCAATGAACCATCACTATTTGAGATATCAAAGACAAAAATGGCAAAAATCAAGAACATTTTCTTTTATTTTTATTCACTCGCTACCTCATATAAAGTTACTATGCCAAATATAGATTGAATGGTGAAATTGCAGAGTTAGTCTCTATGTACAAAGCTGACATAAAAACACAGGGAATATTGTTGAAAATGTTGCAGGGCATTTCTTAAACAAATGTAATGTCTGGATCTTTGATACAGCATTGTCAATATGTACATCCTAACTTGTAAAACAACTCATTTAGTAGATAAGCATTGGTGTCTGCAATGGTAGTGACATCATAAAGATTGTGAACAACTCATTTGGTAGATAAGCATTGGTGTCTGCAATGGTAGTGACATCATAAAGATTGTGAACAAACTCATTTGGTAGATAAGCATTGGTGTCTGCAATGGTAGTGACATCATAAAGATTGTGAACAACTCATTTGGTAGATAAGCATTGGTGTCTGCAATGGTAGTGACATCATAAAGATTGTGAACAACTCATTTGGTAGATAAGCATTGGTGTCTGCAATGGTAGTGACATCATAAAGATTGTGAACAACTCATTTGGTAGATAAGCATTGGTGTCTGCAATGGTAGTG